CGATCTGCGTTTTTCAAGGTTTCCGTTTTTAAAAGGAAAGGAAAAAGGTAGTGTCAGTTAAAAGTTTGGCCAAACGAGTCGGAGTCTTTCGAAAATTTTTAGAATCTCCATTATACTCTAATCATGGTAAGGAAATAACTTTAGGATGCCCTATGGGGTTATGATACGTCTTGGGAAGGAGAAGGAGCAAGTTCCTAGAGGATCGTTTAGTGAAACCCCTTCATGAGTGAGAAGAGGAGGGTCAAGGTAGCTCATATTCTACGGGGATGCGAGCTGATCAGAATACGGTTCATGAAGATGCCAAGTTCCTGGTACGATGACAGGTAGTAGCCAAGGAGTTACGGCAAATGTTGGTCATCGTCTAGAGGAAGGGATGCAAAGAGGGTGCTCTAGGATCACGATGATCGAGCTTAGGGGTACGACCCAAAGGAGGAGTGAAGGGTTAGACTTTAAGTAATCCTGGGAGTATGTAAGGAGGAATTAGAAAAGGTCATGAGGATCCCGACAAGTCTTCAAGGAGCTCGAAGACAAGTTTTTGAAAAGAAGAGACCGCCATCGAGATAAGCGATGTAAAGAATGAGGTTGGAGCAAGCACTATGTAGCCTATAAGTAAGAAAGGCTAGAGGTGTTGCCAACTAAGCCGAGGTATGAGGAGGGATTCGAGAGACCCTACGGGGTATAGTAATCATGAGAGGTCGAAAATCCAAGGGACACAAGGAGCATCGTCGGGCCAGGATAGGATAAGAGTTAGAATCTCAAAACTTGCCTAAGAAAAGTCATCAAGCCAGTCGAGGAAAGACAAGAAAGTAGAACGTTCGAGATAAGTTCTAATAAATGTCAAAGAAGGCAAGTAGAACTATTGAGAAGGAATGACAAGGAGCTAGTGAACTGATTTCGAGCATCAAAGCAAGGATATGAAGGACGACAAGGAGAAGTTAAGTTGATTGCTAAGGAGAACAATTAGACCATAGGATATCGTCGAGAATTCAAAAACTCATAAGAAGGTGAAGGTGTCGCTGTCTTGATATGTCAAGGATATAAACTTAGCTTATAGGTACAAAGATGTAAAGGGAAGAGAACACATAGGAACCTGGAGGACTGCATTGAGAGCAAGGAATATCAAGAAGAAGAGTCACGAGTAATAAATTAAGAGGGATTGCAGTTAAGCGTATGTTAAATGGGTCCCGACCTTACTAGGAAGAGTATAAGCCTCCATCAATAACAACGAATTCGAAAGGGGTGTTAAGGATATCGGTAAAGAGGTGCAAGGGATTGCCTCACACTCAAGACACCAGATATGGTGAATCAGTCATCAAGTTTGTGTATTAAGTGGAGTTACCTAGAGGAGAAAAATGAGGTCTATAAAGGGGGGAAGAAGCGATACTAAGGATCCAGCATAGGTGTAGGTAATTAAGCAAACCAGGCACTCAGTACGTCAAACATTCACCACATAATTCTATGTAAGGAGATTCGAGGAGAGGCACATCTGTCAGCATATGGAGAATGGAAGCCAAGGCCTGAGCGCGTGATGAACGGAATCCACAATGGGTCATGTCCTGAATAGGGCTGGCTAAGAATTTATCTCATTGATGTTTCTTATGGAAATCCTAAGTAGAGACCCTAGACAAACCGTTGAGAACAGTATGAAATAAGAAACCATTATAGTACCAATGGCGTCTATGAAGGGTCTTGGAGTTCAGGAGAATTGAACATAGGGCTACAACCCCAAGGAGCAGCTGAAAGTTAGACTTTGAAAAAGACTAGGGCCACCTAAGCAAGCAAAGGAAGACCTTAGTATATCATAGGGAGCCTAACAAGATGTCATAGGATCAATACATCAAGGCTAGAAGGAGGTACAACTCCTTGCAAGAAGATTATCACAAGTGAAACTTGGAGTCGTCACAACGAACAAATTTCGAGGTCGAAATTTTCTTAAGGAGGGGGGAAATGTGATGTCTCGATTTTGGATTTAGGTTCAACATCAACTACTAGGAGATTGGATCAACATGACAAGCCGAATTGGCATTTTGTTTCACCATGTTTGGATCAAGCTGGGAGGTAAAAAGGGCAGTGAGACACTTTTGGTTACACGAGTGCTGCAAGCTAAGGAAACTTATTTGAGCAAAAGGTACCAACGAAGTTGTTATAGTAAAAGTAGATGATCGTGGGAAGGAAGTATAAGAAGGGTGTTGATAGAAGGATGAGTTCCGAGCAAATTTCGGGGAGGAAATTTTTGTAAGGGTGGAGGAAATGTAACACCCCGAATTTTGGGTTATGGTTCGACTATAATGCGTGATCGATTGGGTTGACGGTTACGTACGAAGAGTTTCAACCGCAGATAATAAATGACAATAATAATAATAATAACAATAATAACTATTATATTATTATTCACCATCATCCCCACGTAAACAACAAAGAAAAAATATATAATAAAGGAAACTCCGCCCCTCACTCGGCCTCACATCCCCCTTACCCTAGCGCATATACATAATATGCAACATGGCAGCCGAGGGGGAAATAAAGGGAAAACCCCCAGCTCCATCCCTCTCGTCCCCTACACAAACGAAGTAGCAACGCCGCCATCGACCCCGTCCCGCCTCGCACAACCCCAGCCCAGCACCCCGGTTGCGGAGTTTCCCATGTTCGACGTCGTAGAAAATTGCATCGCCATCATTAAGCCGACGACGATCAGCAGTAGCACGAGCCGGCGTCGCCTCCATCCCTTTCCCTCGCAATTGAGCAACCACGGCGGTGAGCGGCAGCGGTCGACGGGAAACCCACAGTAGCAGCCGGCTGCACCCACCGTCGCCATCATCTTCGCACAGTCGTCGGAAAAACCAGAAAACTCAAGTCCAAGTATTTTTTGATTGGAAGGTACCAATGCAAAGAGGCGATCCCAGGAGCATCCCGGTCTCGACGGAAACGAGTTTCGACGTCGGACGAGGGAGATACGAGTCTCGAAAGTTTGGGATGCAAATCGGATAGTTCAGGTACTATTCTTGTCAATTCGATAATTTTGAGGATTAAATCTGTAATTTTTCCAGATAGGCCATGGTCAACTATGTTGACTTGAAAATTACAGTTTCGGTACTTGGTACTTTTAAACTGACAGAATGTTTATTTGGGTCATAACTCGATCAATTGACGTCCGATCGAGGAACCGTCGACGCCTATGGAATCGTGGGAACAAGGAAAATTTAGTGGAATCAAGTCATGGAATTTTTAGAGCGGAGTCAGAGTCGTTTTCGACGGATTTGAGGTGAGTGTAAAGGGGGCAAAATCTCTGTCGTAGGTCTTTTAGTTTATGCTTTTCGTTCAAGTTATTAATTAGTTAATTTTTGAGTAATGCGCGACATGTGTGTGAGGCATCCCACCGCATCTATGGGTGGAGGCACGCGTTGTGCTATGTATGAATGTATGGATGTATGATTGTAATAGTTGGTTAATGGTAAGAGGAACCCCCGGCGGTTGGGTCACTATTGGACGGCGAGACGTAACGCAGTAGTTGACGGGCATGGACTAGACGACGAGACGTTACGCAGTGCCATTTCCGAGTTTGGGTATGCAACCTCCTCAACAACTTCATGGCTCGCTACTGCCCGCCTTCGAAGGTGTAGTGGAGAAAGAAGATTACCCATTTCGAGCAAGAAGAGGACGAGACCTTGAGGGATGCTTGGGAGAGGTACTCCGACTATTTTCTTCAATGTCGTCACCACGGGTTTGAAGAACAGTTTCGGATTGAAACCTTATACGAAGGCCTAATGCAAGAAGACAAGATTCCCATTGACTCCTTGTGTCAAGGGAAATTGATGAATATGGCTCTGCCCCAAATAACCGAGATACTTGAAGACATGGCCCTCATGGGATACGATTGGGGGTTGACTAGAAGTGAGAGGCGAAGCAATGAAAGGGGAGTGAGAAGCGTGGGCACGAGTGCTCCGCTTGAGGTGAAGTTGGATAAGTTGATAGAGGTTATGCTTGAAGATAAGAGGCAAGGAAAAAAGGCAGGTGATGTCGTGCGACTAGTGCTCGAGCACTAACCATGAGATGTCGGAGTGTCAAGCAATGAAGGAGGCAACCTCCCCGGAGGAACCAGCCAAATTTTGCCTGGGCATCACCGACGAATCCGAGGCCCCTGGGTTTTCAAGGCCCCACTGGAAATTTCAAACCTTAGCCGACCTTCATCCAACAAAGGTCCCAAGTTCAAGGCTAAAGTTTCCGACAACCGTACCAAGCACAAGGTGGCCTAGGGTTTCAACAACAACAACAACCCGACAAGCTATCTAAGCTTGAAGACCTAGTGAACACCTTTGTGAGTATGAGTAGCCAAAAGTTCAAGAAGATAAAGCAATTTATGGATATGGCGACTACCAAGTTTAATGCGGTTGAGGGGGGTCTCCGAAGCCATCAAGCGAGCCTCCAAAGCTTGGAGGTGAAAATCGGAAACCTTGCCGACATCCTCACCGAGAGACCCAAGGGAGCTTTACCTTCCCAAACCGTGGCGAACCCCAAGGACCATGCCGGGGTAAATACACTTCAAGTGAGGAGTGTAAAGGTGGTTCTGGAAGTCACCACTAATGAAGTAAAAGAGAAGGGAAGATACCAACAAGGAAGAGACCAACCTGAAGAAGGGAGAGAAGAAGCCCTCGAGGAATGAGAGGAAGGCGGCAAGGAAGGCATCACCGGTGAGGGAGTACACGCCACCTCTTCCTTATCCCACAAGGATGTACAATGAGAGGTTGGAGAACGAGTGGAGATTTCATGGAAATGCTCTGCAACCTCCACCTCAACATCCCTTTCCTTGAAGCCATGGCTCAAATGCCAAGATATGTCAAGTACCTCAAGGGATTCTTCGCCAAGAAGCCAAAGCTTGAAGGCCTCGCCAACGTGACTCTTGGCAAGGAGTGTTCGACTTACCTTATCAACCGCTTGCCCAAAAAGCGGTCCGACCTAGATAGCTTTACTATTCCTCTTGAGGAGGAGCTAAGCTAGTGAACGACAAAAAAGAGCTAATCCACTAATCTCCCTCCATGAGAATCAAATCAACCAATAAGGAGTAAGGACGAGATGAGGTTTAAATTAAAATTTTGGAATTTCTCAATTTAATCAAAACCACAGCTCCGCCATAGAAACTGCCCAAAAAATCTCTTCCCCAAATCCCCCCGCCGCCGCCCATTTCCTTCTCCAATGGCGGCAACTGCTTCATTCCTCCAGTGGAACCCACTCAAATGGAAGCAATTCCCTCCCTCGCTGCCGTCTCCTGCAATTCGCTCGTCCTCCCGCTCTTTCCCTCTCAGAACCGCTGCGAAACCTGCTCTGAGGCTCACCGTCAGGTGTTCCTTCGTGGCGAAGCATCTGAACCCCTCGAACGACATTAATGCCCCCACTACCTCGGGTTCGAGCTTCGCGGTTGGCGAGACCAAGGAGCAGAAGAAGAACGCGTTCGAGAGACTCTACGACGCAGCCGTCAAGGCTCTGCAGGCGACGAAGAAGCCGGCGATCGCCGCGATTCTGGTCGCCGCGCTGCTGATGTACGACCCCGCCTCCGCATTCGCTGCCTCGGGTGGGAGGATAGGCGGTGGGTCCTTCTCCCGCTCCTCTTCCTCGTCGTCGAGGAGTTACTCCGTGCCTCGCGGCTCGCGCTCGGGTTCCTCCTACTCCGCGCCTTACTACGGCCCTTCCCCGTTCGGCGGTGGAGGAATTTATGTTGGGCCGGCAGTCGGGGTTGGAGTTGGTGCTGGCTCTGGTTTGTTCTTAATACTGGCTGGTTTCGCTGCCTTTGTATTGGTCTCCGGGTTTCTATCCGATCGAGACGAAGGGGGAATTCTGGCAGCTACGGAGAAAACCAGCGTGCTCAAGCTTCAGGTACTTCCTATGGCCTCCATTCAAATTGTTCGAACTGAGAATTTTAACTGCTTTGGATGCTCTGTTTGTCCTGCATTAAACTGGGTGCACTGAGAATTCTAACTTTTGGTACTTGAGAACCAAGGAGCCAACTATGGTGTGTACTAAAAGAGGGAAAACGCATGGAACTGTTGCAATGAAACTCCTGTGTCTGGACTGCAGTTATAGTTGCTTAGGGGCTTCAACTGGGAAAGGAACTGTTTGTGATTAGTCGATTGTGCAATTTTACACTAATCCTTTTCTCCTTCAGGTTGGTTTGTTAGGAATGGCACGCTCGCTTCAGAAGGATCTTAATAAGATTGCAGAAGTTGCAGATACATCTTCCTCGCAGGGTCTAAGCTATGTATTAACAGGTATGGCAAGTTTCACAAGCTGATAAATTCTTAGGCTTTTATATTAGACGACCGGAATATGAGCTTAGTTAGCATCCATGGCTGATGAAGAACTGATCAATGATCATCCGTGTAATGTGGTTGCAGAGACTTCACTTTCATTGCTACGCCATCCTGATTATTGCATCTCAGCCTATTCAGCTGTAAGTTAAGAGAGACCATCTCTTCTCTTTCTCTCCGAATATCCATTTACTAGCAGTAGTCTGTTTGTTGATATTGCTCCATATGTGCTCGTTGATTGTAACATGTCGTAGTGGTACGAAGTTGGTTCTTACCTGGTATCGTTGAGGGTGATGTAGTCTCTTTGTTATCAAGTAAAAGAATTGGAAAATGCTCTTTGATTATATGCGTATCAGGGTTCATGAGTGTTTCGATACTCATCATGCACGTGTGAAATTTTCAATACTGTCAGGTAGATGTGAAGCGAAGCATGGAGGATGGTGAGAAACGGTTCAACCAACTTTCTATTGAAGAACGGGGAAAGTTCGATGAAGAGACGCTTGTTAATGTGAACAGCATCAAGAGGCAGAGCACCAAAAGCCAGAGAGCAAGCGGCTTTAGCAATGAATACATAGTGGTAAGTAATAGTAGTTCATCTTTTAGACCTTGCCACTACCTTGAACTGTGTACCCCAGCTCTTAGCCCCAATTTGGTCTCCAAATGTTTGCAGATAACAATCTTGGTAGCAGCCGAGGGGGTGCACAAGTTACCTGCCATTAACAGCGTCGGAGATCTGAAGGAAGCTCTGCAGAAGCTCGGCGCAATTCCGTCTCGCAGTATACTCGTAAGAGATTTAGCTAATCATCTGGATCCTCTGACTTGGTTATTGTTATCCCAATCCCACAAGGCCACAATTAATCTCCATGTTCCGTTTATGGTTTTGTCATACATACAGGCAGCTGAGGTACTGTGGACGCCTCAAAATGAGAACGATGCACTATCAGAACGAGAACTACTCCAAGATTACTCGCTTCTGAGGCCATTGTGAGAGAGCTCTAAATTACATATAAACGCACAAAGCTTTAGTTGTCTTTGACCTCCTATTGCAGGTGCAGGTTTTTCTGGCGAAAGGCTATACTGCATTGTACTGAGACTTGTAAATAAGGGTGTACTATTGTCTGTACATACATGATATGATACGAATTTATTTTTCTATGGATATATAGTTTTTTACTTTTATCTTCTAGTTGCAATTTATTCTGCATCTGTTGGTAATTATTAGGGGCGGAGCCAGGATTTAACGATCGGGGAGCCGAAGTTTTCTTAATACGATACCGCAAAAGACTAAGAAAATATTTTTTTATTATAACCACAAAAAAATAAATTAAGTTCAATATAAATAAGAAATTATATATAATTTAATTATACATACAAATATTGTCATTGTAACTAGCGTTTGGTTTTCATAACTAAAAATAAAATCTATGCCAATATTAGAATTAAGAAAATAATTATTCGTTTTATAGTCTAATCCTTACAATTGATGAACTTAATTGATAAAATTTGAAATTAAGAAATTTACAAATCATGAAAATTAAATGATTAAATTCATAAACACAAAAGCTGATATAGATGTTATTGGTCGAATTTTTTTTTGCGCAGGTTTTATAGCTATCAATTTTTCCATATCCCATAAGGGATCCGAATGAAACCAAAGTTTCGTGTTCGGTTTTGAATTAGAGACATTAAAAATAATAAATCAACATCGACTATAACCCCTTTTTAGTCAAATGAAAACACAGGGGAATAAAATTACAAATACTGCTCTTGTATCTCGAACTACTCTTAAAATTGAAGAAATTAATGGAACTAATTTGAAATAACGGACTTGACAAACATATTATTAAAGTTTATATTTATAATACCGAGCATTTTTTATATGTAACTTTCAATATTCTCGGGTGGCCGAGGCCCCCCAAGGGCTGCTGTAGCTCCGCCCCTGGTAATTATGCAAGTCATCATCCAAATTACTACATGAGTGAACTCTCTAACAACATCGAGAAATGAACATACTGACATGAAACTTGATCTCTAACAACATCGAACCCCAATTAAGCCCCGCCTGAGTCGTCCATCTGACTTTGATTGACTTTAGCAATGAACTAAACTAATCCTAGGTGGAAAGAATGGTTGCACCTTCTTTCTTCCAACAGTGATGCCCATGGAACTATACTCTCATCTCATATCAGCTCTTCTTACAGCTTTGACTTTGGGCTAGAAGGCGTTTTATCTCTTGCCCATGAAGGAGGGCTGATCCTATATTTCACTGGCTCTTCCTCTTTCTTCACCTCTTCTCCTTCTTCTTCTTCCTCTTCTTCTACAACATCCTTTGAAAATGCCCCAGGGTTCACCTTGATACAATTCTGCAGGGCCACAAACGGGTGCACACAAACTGATCCCTGCGGAACAAGGTACTAACATGACTAATGAGTAACGACCAATGTGCCACAATCCAACATCCTCTCAATTAGTCATAGCTCATCAGGAGAAGTATATTCAGCCTAACTGTAGCAACTTCCATGAAAATACATTAACTTGGCAGGCTGCCATTACCCTAATTGGGGATCCATACAAAATGGGAACAAGAAACCATTTTCTCTGGTAAAAGAAATGATTTACCTTCTCCTCAGCAGTGCTCTTGAGAAAACAAAGGAAAGCATCGGAAAATTGAGTCCCGCACTGGCCATTTCGTAGCTCACTTATGCATGGGCACTCCAGTGCCTTCTCAGCCTTGGAATCTGGAGACTGCCAAAAAGAGAGAAAAGAAAAGAAAAGTCCCTCAGTAACTCACCTTCACCATCTCTATGGTTCTAAGACATTGACAAAAAATGCCCCCAGGGAACCTGAAGGTTGCAAACCGACCTCATTCTCGGCAGCAGAATCGCCATAAGCTGCAGCTTCTGTCCAAGCAAACGGAAAAGCAAATACAATCAGGACAACTAGCAATCATCTTCAACAAAACCCAAGATTGGACTTACTCATTTTCTTGATCCTTCTGTCTAAAGCCTAAAATGGTCAAAATAACTTCCCCATTTCTTCATTCAGAAATAAAAGGCATATGCAATATTCAATGGGGACAAACGCCTACTTCCATTGAAGTAGAAGAGCAACCGAGACCAGAACAAATAGCAATCTTCTTTAACAAGCCAAGAATGGTTCCTACCCATTTCTCCGGCCTGAAGTCTAAGCCAGAATGTAAAAAACTTACCCATCTCCTTACAATAGCGACAGTCATATGCAGCAGGCAATAATCATTTGTGAGTACTGTCATGGATGTTGAAGAGCATTCTAATTGGACAGTAACGCATATGGCTAATTGGACTTATATGGCTGCATGAAAGAATGGTTGCGACTTGCGAGCAATACCTGCTACGAGAGATTCCATGGATGTAGCAGGGGAGGAACCCTGAGGATTGACTTGCGTCTCCTCTGAACAAGAGGCTACTGAATGCTCGCTCTGAGCTTGACCCATATATGGCTTCTTCTTCCTCAATTCAATCAAACTAGAAAGAAGGATCCGGCTGATTGGGGAAGAAGCTTTGTGATATTGATATCATCAGTGGAAGGAAAGCTTCTAATTCCGTACGAATACACGTTGACTTCTTGCACGAAGATGCGATTTACATTGAAGCAATCTGGTCGGCGGTTGCGAATAAAAAACCAGGAGTCCAGGACATCGGCGAGAAATTCCTATTCAGAGCAGATAACGCAAGTGATTATAATATCTTCTCCGGAGGAGATAGTTCAGCGGAAGAACTGAGAATCACCAGTTTTCGACAGTCAATAACGGCGGCGGTGAAGATGGTAATTGTACGAGATGAAGGAGATTGAAGGAGTCAGGATTCAGGAATTCCGATGCCATCGGGGGTAAGGAAATACAACCACCGGGGACAAAATTGCAGGAGGTGGACGGGTGGAGGTATGGGCTTTGGCTCGCCGACGCCCAGCCCAACTAGTTGAAATTGAAGTCTTTTGCGTGGGCCCGTAATGGGACATTTATTCACTGGCCCAAGATTGGATGTATAAAACGAAGAAAAGATAGAAGGCTATTAGCAATTCAGGCTGAATGCTGAAATTAGGGATGGCAATGGGTCGGGTCGGGGACGGATAGTGCATATTCGTTACTCTACCCAATGAAGTTCGGGTTTTACCCATACCCATACCCACATAAGAAACGGGTAAAAAATCCAAACCGTGCCCATACCCGTTCGGGTTTCGGGTATCCATGGTTATCCATGGGTAATAGTTTATCTTTATAACTCCAACCAACATGTTTATATTCACTGGTTTATATTCACGAGTATTCTCACGTTACGTAAGAAGAAAAGTACAACAATAATTCACTAGAATGAAGAAAACTAATTAAAATAACACAATTTCATAAAAAATATTATATTTATATGCTAAATATAAAATATGTTAGAGAAAAATATTGATTATTTCTAGAAAAAATAATATGTATAATCGGGCGGGTTCGGGTTGGATAGTGAGAAAACCATGCCCACCCATTACCCGCAATATTCGGGTTCGGGTTTTACCCATACCCACTAAAAGTTCTTCGGGTTCGGGTTTTACCCTACCCGATTAGGTCGGATTCGGGTGGATATCCACGATTACGGATATTTTTGCCATCCCTAGCTGAAATAAAAGAATCGCGAAACAGAATTACAGAAAGGAGGAAACAATTGAGAACATTTTCTTCCATTGGCTCGTCTCTTTTGGCGCATTACTAGTCTCGCTTCGGATCAGTAACAATGGGATTCAAGGGCTTTTGATGTCTTTCTTTTGGTGCAATATGTTAAAATATGACTTGAATTTGATTTGGATTTGTTTTGTGTTTTGAGCCTATTTTGTTTGGGTTTTGTTTTGGCCTTTTTCATGTATGTTTGGGAAAAAATGTTTGGTTTTCTGTTTGGGATTAGGAGAAGAGTTCTATAAATACTCTTCATCACCCTAGTCTGTAGTAAGGTCAGTCAGGTTAGTTTGTTTGGTTTGTCCGTTCGAAATTTGGTTTGTAACTTGTACTCTCCTCAAAATCAGTGAAATTTGTTCTCCCCTGCTTGTGGATTAGATAGCACACATAGTGTTAGTGAACCACGTTAAATTTGTGTTCGTTTGTGTTGATCTGGATTATCGATTGCACGCTTCTGTTCTGGCAAGTGGTATAAGAGCCGCGATTGATCATTGGGTTATTTGAAACTGCCTTCGCAGATTTTCGAATCGTGCTTCTAGTTGATGGTTTGAGTTGAAATAATTGGTTGAGATCGAGGTGACTGCTGCTGCTTTCAATTTGGGTTGGCGGAGGAATCCCTTCAGGTGTTTTTCAAAATTTGGTTTGCGGTGGTTCGTGGTCTTTTGCCCCAATTTGGATTTGAGCGGGGGACAAGCAATGGAGACGCACCGCAAACTTATGAGTTGTGATTAGTCGGCTTCTGTGGGATACTGGGATTTGAAGAAAACTTCGTTTAATTGTGGAAGCAAGCAACTGAAGTTTTTATTGGATTTCGTGTTGGTAGGACCATTGTTTGTTTTGTGGTGGAGACTTGAATTTGGGCTTTGTTCATTTGTTTTGTGCTTTTGGAGTTAGAAGTTTGATTTTAGATACTTTGTGAACAGTTGTCACCAAGTCGCCGTGAGGTGGTTGGTTAGGGTTTGGGGAGAAGTATGTTTGTAATTGGCAGCGGCAGGTTTGGAGTAAGCAGTAAATTTGATGTTGGTGTCATGGATAGAAATAACACCAACCTGGTTCTGCACGGCAGGTTCCAACAAGGTTTGGACTTGCTGCATGTTTTGATTTGTTGATCACCCTTAGGGGCATTTAGACGCAGGGGAGGTTCCGATACATCTGGATATTTGGAGAATTTGGCACTTCTGCAATTTTGATTGCATTTGAGTTTGGCGATATACATCGCATTTGATTCTAGTGATATGGATCACATTTGGATACGTCTGGCAATTTTGATTGCATTTGAGTTTGGCGATTTTGAATCGCTTTTGAGTTTGGCGGTTTCGATCGCATTTGGATACGTCTAGCGATATGTATCGCGTTTGGGTACATCTGGAAGCCTTGGTTGCGTCTGGTACATCTGATGTTTGACAGAGAATTCAAGTCAAGGTGGAGATTGTTAGAATATGACTTGAATTTGATTTGGGTTTGTTTTGTGTTTTGTGCCTATTTTGTTTGGGTTTGTGTTTGGGCTTTGTTTTGGCCTTTTCCTTGTATGTTTGGGAAAAGATGTTTGGTTTTCT